CCATGGATTCTGAGTCCATGTTTAGGTCCAGGCAAAGAATGGCAGGGAAAGTCACCTCCTGGCTTGTAGCTCAGTACAGCTTGCTTGTGTTGGGGCTGCAGGACTTGCAGAAGTAGCCCTGGAAGGCGGCTGTGCCTTCAAACAGCCTACAATAAAATGCTTGGCACTTGGCAATCGGTGCAGTGATGTGATTCCAGGCCTTGGTCTGGGAATCTTGTAGGACTGACTACTGCCCTGTGATACCTTGGACATCCACTTGTTCTTTCTGAGCCTCAGTTTACTCTGAAGAGTGGGCTCTGCCGACAGCTTTGTAAAGGAGATGAATGCTTGAGCACATGGTATTTAGTCACTTCTAAAGAAAGGGTAGCGTGCTTTTACAGAGAAGGCAGAAATACAACACACTCCATAGGACACCTATGACATATCAGGCTGTGCGTCAAGACACTGAACAAGGAACCAAACAGACTCATGTTGGGCAAGGGGGCATTGAATGAGTGATGGGTTTTAGGACATGCAGGAGTGGGATAAATACCAGGGAAAGAGACGTGTCAGGGCCTGGGGTGTCTGGGGGTGCTCAGACCATATATACTGCCTTGGGGTATAACTTTCAAGTGATTTTTAAAGGGTGCCCTTCATTCCCAAAGTATTCTCCCAGGACAGCTCTGGCCAAGATTTGGGGGGCATCCCCTACCTCTGCCTTCCACCTTTGGGTTTTCCTCTTTTATGCATGTCTTGCTCTTTGGGAGTGAGGTTGAATGGGGCGATGAGAAGAAAAAGAGACAATGTTTTACAGTTAAACTTAATGTTTATTTAAACATCAGGTTTCTGGGGGAATTTGAAGCCCTTTGTGTATCAAGCTTAGCTGTAGAAAGATAGGGACCTATTAGAAGACCAGCTGACCAGGGTTTCAGTGACCAGTGTCTTAACAGGAGCCCCTCTCCTGGTATGGCCCTCCACTGCTCTCCTGCTATGCAGTGTGCCCAGACACCTCCTTRAAGTATAAAAGGATTCTTGATACTTTCACTGTCGGTTCCTGCAGGCCTATAGCATTAGGGCAGGTATATGCTAATTATATGTAGATGGTGTGCAGAATCACAGGTGGACTCCACTCTGTTGCATGTCCCTTGGGATCATCCCTTGGTCTCATATGGAAGTGCTGACTCCAGACTCACTAGCACCAATTTGAAAAACCAAGATTCCAGCTAGCTGAACAACTGGGGAAGGGCACTGTGGATAGGTGCTGGAACTTTGGTGTCCTCCAGAGAATACGGTTCTGTGTCCTTCCTGTGTGGAGAGACACAGAGGATAGGAAACCAAGCCTAGAGGAATTGGGAATGAAATAAGACATCCAATTCAAATCAACACATATTTTTTTGAGCACCATGAACATACAAGGAACCATTCTAACAGGGGACAAAAGACCTCTTAAATTCCAGTGGGGGATCCTTTCATCGGGACCCCTCCTTTTACAGAAAAGGGAAATGAAGCCCAGCAGCATAGAGGGGAGAGTTTGACTTGTCCCAGGCAAGGTCACCTGGCATGCCAAGTGCAGATCTCTGGGGCCAGATCTCTGGTTTGGAGCTGGTGGTACATGGATACTTCCCTCCCAGCCCCCTGAAATGTGACTACTATTGATTACGTTACTTTCATATAGAAATAAAGCCCCATTGCCATTAGACTTCCTATCCCTGTTTCAGCCCACTTATTTTCTTCCACCCCTTACACTCCAGGTAAACATTTCCTCTGAACTTCTGAAGCCACTTCTTCAAGGTTCTCATTTCCCTTCATATGTTTCCTCTTGGTTCCACTGAAAACCCTCTCTCTGCCCTTCCTCTCTGCCTCCCGGGGCTAAGCTACCCCTTACTCCTTGGCTCTGGGCTTCGGCATCTGGCCTCTCTCAATCCTTCCCTCTTTTCTCTAAACTGCAAACAGAGGTGGCCCGAGCCTCGGAAGGCTTCTGAACCGAGGGCACCCTACAGATGTGTAAACATTTTACCTTGCTAACCAGGCAAGCTGCCTTCCAAGGGCAACAGGAAAACCAGGGGCTGGGAGCCCCTGGCAAAATAAAAACCTGCGGGAGAGAGAGAGAGAGTGCAGAAGATTCTGTTTCAGATTTGAATTTTCTCATTAGAAGACCCTTCATTTTCTTTTTGTGGCAGGACGGAGTAGACAGGGGAGGGAAAGAAGCGGAGCTAAGATATGGGCTGGACATGAATGTGGTGACTTCAGCAACCTCTGCTCCTGTTGATACCTGATGTGCAGAGAGATCTGGGGCAATGGGATCCAAATTTGGAGTCCAGTCTTTGTCTTTGGAGGGAGTTGGCAGGGAGGTAGCTTTTTATATATAGTCTCTTAGTATCATCTAAGCTGATGGGGATTTATGATTTACAAGAAGGGCTTGTCCATGGGATTGAGGGGACTTGTGCCTTCATTCCAGCTCTTAACCAATTAGGCAAGATACCTTCAGGGCACCTTCTCTCTTTGGCTTTGTTGCATTTTATTTCTGGTTGTTTCCTACTTTTTCATCTTTGATGTTACTCCCAGACCTTCCAGCATCTTAAGAAGGAACTCTTCTTTGGATAGCCGTTGTATGCCAGGGACTCTATATCCACTATGTCATTTAAGTGTGACAACATATGAGGGAATTAAGGTCCACAGAGGGGAAGTGACTTTGTCCCTGATGTACTGATAGTAATTGCTGTCATTAGAATTCAGGCAGATTATCCTGAGTCCAAAGATCCTGCCCTTTCTCCCCATACCAAGAACACATTCTGCCCTCTGAATCTCTCTGTCCTTTAGCCATGGAGATACAAAGTATTGTCTTTTACTCTGTTTGGTCCTTAAAGTCCTTGCCTTGTCTCTTTTCCCACTCTGTTCAGAATCACATGTCCCGTGCTTATTCATGAGTCACTAATGGAAGGCCTGCTGCAGCAGGTGCTGGACAGGTTATGGAGATGATGACCCAGACGTGGTCATCACTCTCAAGAATACCCAGTCTTGCAGAGAGGAGGCAATGGGAAGTCACATAGGCAACTCTAGAACCGGACAGCCAGTGTCAAGTTTCCTAAAAGTAGAACAGGTTCAGTGGAGAGAGTGATTTCTACTCACAGGGCTGGCATTGGAAATCCTGGAATAAGGGAAATCAGACTGGGTCTGAGTACGTAATGGGGAACTTCATTCAGTCCCCTGCTTGACCACACAGAGAACCAAGACCCAGAAGATTTAATTGGTGTTTTGCCAAGGTCACCATAACCATAAGAGCAGGATGACTGTGGATGGAGACTCTGACCTGAAATATGGTTCAGCAGGGAATGGGAAGAGAGGTGTAGGTGGGCCTAGATCCTCAGCCAAAATCCTGGCTGTGTTAGCAGCTAGCAGGGATTTATATAAATTCTCAGGTCCCAGAGCCACAAAGGAGTAAAGACTGTGTGGGCCTCCTCTATTGATTTTTCTGGACATGCTCCATGCTCTTTTGATGAGCATAATGGCAGATGCACACTCAGAGTTATGGTGACCGCAGTGATTCTCCATCTGAGAACAGGGACTGTCTTTCTAAATGAGCATCATCTATTCATTCTCATCTCCCTCTCTTTCTCCTCCCACCTGGCCTCATGCATCATCTGACACTTAAAATACACTCTTAATTAGAAAGTCCTCTTCCCTATCCAACAGCTTTGTTTGTGCCAAGGACACTGGGTATATTCCAGAAAGACTAGGAACAGGGGATTGGTAAGTATAAAGATAATTAGATCCAGAGAGTATCCACTAAGCTACTTCTTAACATTCTCAGAATAAGTCTAGGGATGCCTGGCTTGGAAAGTCCTCCAAACATTTAGCTAAAGCATGTGATACCCCCCAGGTAGCTGAATGGTCCAAATCCCTGAGGCATGAGTAAAGGGGTAGGAGATGCTATGAAACTAGCACACAGGACAGTGAATTCCAGAATCTTATAGAACTGGGATCCACTTACCAACCAGTTGACCCTGACCCTGTCTCTTCCCTTTCTTTAATTGCCATATCCATCTTGACACAAATTAGAAACTTAGTGTCACTGATGTATTAGCTGAACTAATACATATACAGACCTTGACACAATGTCTGGCCTGCAAAGAGGCTTGGTGGACTTTGCTCTAATGTACTAATAATAATTATCTAGGCATTCCTGGCCTCTTCTTATGTTAAGAGGGTACACGTGTGTCTATGGATTATATATGGATTAGTACTAGAGAAAAGCAAGCTAAATTGGGTCTTAGGAGATTTGTCAATGATTCCACGGAATGCAACAAGTGCTTTCCATTCTATGGGTCTCAACTCCCTCACCCAGAAAGAGAAGGAGTTGGAGGTGATGATCTTCAAAAATGGTTCAGCTATTAATTGTCTGCCTTTCTTTGGGGATGCACATTAGGGCTTAGCCAAGATTCTTGTTAGAAATAGCCCTTCTCAGTCCTTGGCCCTCACTTTTTTAAGCCAAGTTTCCACAGGGTTGACACCACAGATCATTGAATGACTGCTAAGTGGATCCTAGGGAATGCCCTTTTAAATGAGCACCTTCCATTTATCACCGCCTCCCACTATTCCTCCTTTCACAACAAATATTATACTACAATTAAAATACTCTCTCCACTGGTCTTCTTTCCCATTCAACTCTTTGTGAAACCAACGGTTTACAGGTTTTTATCACCACTGTTCTTCTTAAGTTTTCTTTGGGGGAAGCACCCATTTTTCCAAAGTTTTCTTTCATGTGCCGTATTGAAAAATGGCGGTAAAACTGCCTGAATTCAAGTTGTAGTTAGACGGCTTCGAATATAGCTCCCTCGCCCTCTCAGTCCTCCAGCCTTCTCCTTGCCCTTGGGGAGGTCCCAGAGGCAGGGTCCCACCAGGGCAGTTTGAAAACCACTGGTGCAGAATATCCTGATATGTATTTAATCAGAGAAAAATAACTTGCCCACCTTCTCCTTCCATCCTTTATTCATTGATCTTTTTCCTTTGGGGTCACACAGGGCTGTATGACAAATGCTCTTACACCTCACGAGACCGAGGATGGGTCGTGGGCATTCACACTGTCAGTGATCAAGGCAACAGAGACCCACGCTACTTTTTCTCCTTGAAGACAGACCGGGCCCGGCAAGTGACCACCATCAATGCCCACCGCAGCTACCTCCCAGGCCAGTGGGTATACTTAGCTGCCACCTATGACGGTCGGCTGATGAAGCTCTATGTGAACGGTGCCCAGGTGGCAACCTCTGCGCAGCAAGTGGGTGGCATATTCAGCCCGCTGACCCAGAAGTGTAAAGTGCTCATGTTGGGAGGCAGTGCTCTGAACCACAACTTCAGGGGCTACATTGAACACTTCAGTCTGTGGAAGGTGGCCAGGACTCAGCAGGAGATACTGTCCGACATGGAAACCCATGGCCTCCACACCCCTCTACCTCAGCTCCTCCTCCAGGAGAACTGGGACAATGTGAAGCGCACTTGGTCCCCCATGAAGGACGGTCACAGCCCCCGAGTGGAATTCAGCAGTGCTCATGGCTTCCTGCTGGATACGAGTTTGGAGCCCCCTCTGTGCGGGCAGACGCTGTGTGACAACACGGAGGTCATCGCCAGCTACAACCAGCTCCCGACTTTCCGCAGGCCCAAGGTGGTGCGCTACCGCGTGGTCAACCTGTACGACGATGACCATAAGAACCCCATGGTGAGCCGCCAGCAGGTGGACTTCCAGCACCAGCAGCTGGCCGAGGCCTTCAAACACTACAACATCTCCTGGGAGTTGGAGGTGCTGGAGGTGAACAAGTCCTCTCTGCGCCAGCGCCTCATCTTGGCCAACTGTGACATCAGCAAGATCGGGGATGAGAACTGTGACCCCGAGTGCAACCACTCGCTGACTGGCCATGACGGCGGGGATTGCCGCCACCTGCGCTACCCCGCCTTCATGAAGAAGCAGCAGAATGGTGTGTGTGACATGGACTGCAACTATGAACGGTTCAACTTCGATGGCGGGGAGTGCTGTGACCCCGAAATCACTGATGTCACCAAGACGTGCTTTGATCCCGACTCTCCGCACAGGTAAGACCCTCCTGGGCAGAAGATGCCCAGTAAAGAGCTGAAAACTCTGCTCCATTTTATAGCTAAGATCCCCTGAGGCCGATAGGGTGAGGACAATTTGGTCATACAGCAGTTTAATGACCAGGGCGAGTCTATGGCTCAGGCAATCAAGAGGACCATGTGCAAGCATAGTTCATTATTCATCTTGAGAATTTCCCATTGGTCTTGAAGAAAGACTCGAAGCCCTGTGTTTCCAGAGAACTCAGTTTATATTGGTTGGCACACAATGAGTACAAAAATCTATGTGCTATGTATAATGGAGTGGTTTAGAGCTTTTCCCTTCAGTACAGAAGTCTCTTGCCTGTGACAATTCAAATTTAAATCAGTTGAAACTAAATAACATTTAAAATCCAATTCCTGATTTGCATGAGCCCTATTTCCAGTATGAGGTCACCATAGGTGGCTAGTGGCCACCATACTGGATGGAGCAATATGGAATATGTCCATCATCATGGCAAGTTCTAATGGACAGTGCTGGTGGAGCTGGAGTCGGTGGGGTCAGACAACCTGGGCCTGACCTCAACTCTACCATTTTCTTACTTTGTGACCTCTTAGAAGCTTCTAAAGAAGTTTCCTCGTCTGTAAAATGGGAATGAATATAGCACCTACTTGGTTCAAGTTGCAGTAGGGACTGAGAGGATGTATAAAGTGCAGTCTCTTGCCATCAGTGGCTAGCACATAATTAGCTCTTGATCAGTGTATTTGTCATTCCTTGTCTAATGAATGTGAGTATATGGTGTTGAGGGGGTGGCAGAGGAGATCCAGAAAAATGTTGACTTGCACCTTGAATATGAGACTTCTTTGGAAGAGGTGATATGTCAGCAACGTCTTCAAGACTAGGTGCCATTCGAGGCATAATAGAGCAAGGTTAGAGATCTAATGCACATGAAGACTGTAAGTAATAAAATTGTACTGTATTTGGGATCCATGCTCAATGAGTGGACTTGAACTGCTCTTGACAGACATAGGCACGTATACACAAAGGCAACTATGTGAGATGATGGATATTTTATGAGTTTCACTATGGTAACATTTTTATTATCTCCATGTATCCCAAAACATCCTGCTGTAGACCTTAAATATAAACAATAAAATTCATTTTTCAAAGATAGGTATAATTTGGACAGCAGAGACTAGGGGAGAAGGCAGGACACTGGAGGCAGGAGGAACTGCTTTAAGAAGGCTAAGGGAGGACCCCTATCTAATGCCTTGCTTAGTCTCTGTCATGACCAGTAACTCCAACCTGGACCCCAAAGGTGAACTCACCAGTGACCCGTAGTTAACATGAGACCTGAATAAACTGGTTTTAATCCAGAGAGATGGACAACAGCTATTTTCCTGTTTTTCCCAGATTCAAGCTGAACTTTCCCATTCTGCCCAACACACAGGACCCTGCACTTGCTGATGGCTGTAGCACATTTGCCGACCTCTGCAGGTTTTCTGCTGACACTGCCCTTTATGTCTCTGTCAAAAGAGCAAGGGCCTCCCGTACACAGGCAAAGTACCTATGTGCAGAGGAATGACGATGCTTCCAGGGGAATGTCCTGCCTGGCAGCCAGTCAGGAAGCACTTCAGCTCAGCCTCCTGGCACCAGGAGGGCCCCTGGACTCTCACCTTGGCGCCGTGACATGTGAGAAGCAGCCTTGCCGTGTGGCTAGTTCCTTCCAGGTCAAGTGGCACCGTGGGCTCTGCTTCCATTTAGTCCTTGCCAGAACTTTACAAGGGAGACAAGATATAGGCGTTAACCTTTGTTTGCATTTGACTGCTGGGAAACAGAGGAAACTTGATAGAGAGTGAAATGACTTAGCCAAGTTCACAGATGAGAAAAGTCAGTAGGTGAATCATAAATGCAGTTCTTCTGTGATCAGTGTAATTTGTGTCCTATTAAAGCCAGGAACCAGGAGGTACCTATGTGCCAGGGCAGAGTGGGCATAACTGAAAGGTAGTCATCCAATTGTACATCCATTCATTTGCTCATTCACTCATTCATACAACAAGATGTTTGTTCGGTGCCTGCTAGGTGCCGGGTAGGTAGGGACCCTTGGCTTTATTTTGCTGAAGGAAATCCTGGATTCAGAAAGATGAAAGGATCTAACTAAGGTTACCCCACTAACATATGGAGAAATTGGATTCAAACCCAGGCCTACTGACTACAAAGCTCCCACTGAAGTGGGATATTTTTAAATTCAAGCAACAATTAGAGGCAGAAATAAAGGACAGGGGTGACAGGCAGGGTGGCTTTACTAAAGGCTTGGGAGAAAGCTGATGACAGTGATCCATCACTGGGTCAGGATCCAGGGAAGCTGGTGTGTGCAGAGCACCATGCTGGTGTGGAGGGGCTGTGGGGCCCCATGTTCCAGATAATTCACAACCAGCAGACAGCACTGGTAGGTTCCAAAGGCCTCCGCTAGCCTCAGTCATGGCACTGCATGCCCAGAGCACCTGTGAATGACCATGTGTCTGTGCTGTGACCACTCACGCCATGGTCTATTCGTTTGCTGGCTGGCAAAACTATGTGACCCACCAGGCTATGTGTCATCTCCCTATGAGGCTGGGGGTTACAGGGTTCTGGCCAAATCAGCTTTCCTGGGTGAAGGGAGAAACCTGTGGAAGAAATAGTTTCTTTGCGACCTTAAACAAAAGAGAGGCAGGGTGGGAGGGAGGAAAGAAGGAAGGAAGGAAGGAAAGAGAGCAAGAAAGAAGGGAAGAGGGCCAGCACTTCTAGTAGAAACAGGGAAAGTAGGCGGATTTTAATAAAGAGCTGAAAGCAAAGCTCATGCAGAATTTGTTCTTTCTCTACCTATAACTCTAGCTCTATCCCTATACCTTTCTTTCCATGTCTATCTTTACCTCTTTTTATGGCTCTTTCTTAATGGGTAAAGAGAATATTTAAAGCTCTACTTCTTAACCTATGGCAAAAAAACGGGGATTTTTTTTTTCACTAAATGTCTCAAACTAGTATCTTTTTCATAGACAACAAAAATGAACTGATACAAAAATGAAAGTCCTTCAGAATCCTGCAACAATGTCAGGTTCTCGAAAGGTTTCCAATTGCTGACTCTCCATTTCTGTATTCTCTGTGCCATGGGCAGCTCATGGATGGCCCACTTTGAGTAGCACTGATTAAAATTCATCGTTCTCTCAAATTCTGTGGTACTTCTCCGGAGAAAAATAAGATCCACCCAAAATGCAGCTGAGCAAATTGTCCGATTCCAACAGAGAAGTACCAATTCTTTTGAACACACTGAAACTCTCCCTTTTTGATCTATTAGTCCTTGGTCCCATTGGTCCAAGGTTCAGGAATGCATGTCTTACAGGAGAGCACCCAGTTCCTGAGGAGTGTCTTCAGAAGGCATCCGAATGATGTCAGTTTTCTGACTTGGCAACATGCTCAGAGATTATTCAGCCCAACCTCCTTATATAAAGGGAGACTGAAGCCAAAGCTCACACAGTCCATTAATGGTGAAGCCTGGGGAGAGGGGTTCCAGATTCCCAACCCTGGTCATCTGCTATGGTCCGGTTTCCCAGAATTGCCATGACGTTCTTTTTAGACACAGAAACCTGCTACCTCATATTCTGTCTTCACTGTCTTCTTCTGCTTCTCCCAAGAGCTTGGGGTTGTGAAGTGCTGAGTAAGTTAGGAGGAAAATTAGATCATGGCCTTGAGTTTTTATGAGCTGCTTCGGAACTACTATAGCTGCATTGGCCAGTGGGTTTCCTTAGTGAGAGGCAATGATAAGGACATCCAGCTGAGGATGTTGAAGAAGGCCACTAGAACAGTGAGGAACTGGGAGCCATGCCATATACCCATTTGAGGATGCCTGAGCTGGAGGAGAACATTGTCACAGGGCCATGACCACACAGTCATGACACATATGCTTTAAGTCTCTGAAGGCCTGTTCTACAGGAAAGAGGACAGAATTATTCTATATGGTTTCTAAAAGCATGGTTTCAGCTGCAGGAGGAAGCTTGGAGCTGAGTGACAGATGATGGTGTCTCCAGTCCATGTGGTTCTTCCTGGGGAGTGCTTTCTTGCAGGTGCATGGGCTCCCCATCACCACTGGCCTGAAGCAGGCACTGATAGCCATGCACAGGGAGACCATAGCTGTGATCACAGTGCTAGTGGAGAAAGTGACCTTGTTGGTCTTGGGTTGTGCACAGCCCAGCCCAGCACAGCACAACCTTTTGTTGATATCCTATCCCAAGTCATGTTAGGAAACCACATGATGGTTTCTTTTCTGTCTATTAGGCATTTATTGGGTATCCAGCATCTCTGCTATTCATTGAGGGTATTGTGATGGGCTGAACATGTCTTGCACCATAGAGGGGCCTCCAGTTTTACAGGAAAGTTGAATGAAAGCATCATATGTAATCAGACTGAGGACAGAAGACCTGAAATGCCAGAGGATTATTCTGATTGGGGAAAACAAGGCAGGAGGAGGGATGATTTGAGTAGACATCCAGGAATAGGCAGCCTGTTGAGAAATCGAGACTCACACTGCATCAGTCGTCAGGGTCTTGGCAGGGAACAGAGGGCACATTCAAACAGAATAATTAAGGAGAGTTGAAGGAGGGGCTGTTTTGAAGGCACAGCTATTTACAACATTGCAGGAAGGGTTTAGGCCAACCAATAGAACCTCAGGCTTAACTCAGAGCAAGCAAACCTGGGTAGCCATTTCTACCTTTGATCCGTAGGGTTAAGAGAAGGGAGTGACTGTGGAACCCAGAGAGAGTGGCGGAATGGAGAGGGTTTCCTGGCAGCAGCTGTGGCTCTCAGAAGAGGGAGGCAGCCACCTGACTCGAAGGGATGGACCTAGGACAGGAAATTCCACACTGTCATTCTCTCCTGCCAGTATTTTCCATTGGGTGAACCAAACTGGAAATCACAAGGCAAAGGGACTTGATGCAACCATAGAGGCCACCCTCCCCAGGGGGTAGGGAAAAGTGGCTCAGGATGAAAA